CCCCCCCCCCCCCCCGGAGTAGATGGGCCGCATTCTCACGCTCTCTTTGCTCCAGGGCCTGCTTAGCCCACCCTCCCGCCTCCTGACATACTCACGCATGACGTCGTCCCCAAACTGGTGCTGGGCGATGTGTTCGAAGAGGGAGGTGAGGACGGGCAGGAGGGCCACGGTGGTGTAGGTGATGTTCTGCCCCACGCCTTTGACCTGGGTGCGGGATTGGGAGACTTTGCCAAGCTTGAGGTTCTCCACCATCTTCTCAATGTCATCGGAGGCACCTTCGAAGAAAGACCTCAGCCCCGCCTTGACGATTTCAGGGCCTGACTTCATGACTGTCCTGTAGGATGGAGGAAAAGGAAGAACTTGACATCCTCAACCCAACGGGTACATCTTCTGTGAATGACCCCCATAATCCCTCGCGGGGTGGAGTCTGGGCAACTGAATGGAGCTAATAAGAGTGTTCACTGGCCGGATGCCTTTCCTGTCACCAATGCGGAGTTATATCTGGCAGATATATTCTCATTGTACCAGTGGTGGTATTCAAATTTTTTTACCACCGGTTCTCTGGGCATGGCTTGGTGGTCCTGGCAAGGGAAAGATACTGTAAAATCTCCAGTCAGAGGCAGCATTTGCCGGTTCTCCGAACTACTCAAAATTTCCGCTACCCCGGTTCTCTAGAATTGATCGGAACCTGCTGAAGACCACCTCAGCATTGTACCCCGAGAGGGAAATATCTGCCTCCTGATTGTGAGGTGAGACCTCCACCTGTAGGCCACCGCACCACTCTAGATATCTCTAGATATTTTTTTTTCTCAGATGCTCATGGATAAAGCAACCAGGTGCTGATTATCGGAATGGTAAAACCGAACCTGGTTTTGTTCTTCACATTTGCAAATGGAAGAAAACTTCTATGGCGGAATAAGTGCCCCACATATCAGGCTGTATGTGGTTAATACCCGATTTAAACAAAACAAAACCGGATTTAATGGAAATATTACGTGCAAGTAGTCCTCGACTTAACGACCACAGTTGAGGAGAGAATTTCCACTGCTAAATAAGGAGGTTGTTAAGGGAGTTACAACCCAATTTTATGACCTTGTTCAGTTTGTTGTGATAGAAATGGCTAAGACAGATTTAAGTGTGCAAAAGTAAAAAGTTGAAGCTGTAACGTGGTTGCAGGTAGTCCTCGACTTAGGACCACAAGTGAGCCCGAGGTTTCTGTCATAAAGCGAGACATTTATTAAGTGAGTTTTGACCTAATTTTATAACCTTTCTTGCCACGGTTGTTAAGTGAATCATCGCAGCTGTAACACTGCTGTTAAGTGAATCTGGCTTCCCCAAAGCCTCTGAATTTTGATGACGTGACCATTGGGATGCTGTGAAAAGTGTGAAAAACGGTCATTAACTCAGTTTTTCCGGTGTCGTGGTAACTTCAAATGGTCACTAAACAAACTGTGGTAAGCCGAGGACTACCTGGATATTATATATAATGACAGAGGAAGACCGCTCACCTGGCATCCAAGGAGCGAGCCAGGATGTGGAGGCAATTGACCACAGCAGCAGCATCGGTACCTGGAGGAAGAGGATACAATAGGTAGGTTTAGAAACCTGGGGGAAAAGGATGCGGAGGTCGGGGAGGAGAAACAGAGCCAGCGGGAAACTGGCTTGGAAACAGAGCTGACGTAGCGTCAGGAAAGTCAAGAGGCAGAAGGGAGACCAGGGTAGTTGGGGTTTAGCCCCTCCCTGAACAAATGACAGGTAGAAGGGGATGGAACTAAGGGTGGGATTCTCCCGGTTCAGACCGGTTTGGGAGAACCGGTTGTTCCAACGATCAGCTGGCTCCAAACCGGTTTGCTCCGACGAGCATGTGGGCCCGCCTCTCCTGTCCCTGCTCTTATGTCTTTTTGCTACAGCACAGCTGATTCCCACGGTAGAGCAGTTTGCCACGCCTCAGCTGTTTTCTTCAGCTGCGGTTGACGGTAAGTATTAGCTTTTTTTAAATGCGGAGCATGCGCGTGCTCACCGAACCGGCTGTTATGCCGGTTGAATCGCACCCCTGGATGGGACAGGTGGCCTGAGCCCCTCCCTAGTCCCCGGAACGCAGGAGCAGAGCAGGAGGCTTACCAAAGAGAGAGACCCGGTGCCTGACCAGGGCTGCCAATTTGCAGAAAAGGCTGAAAGGTGGAAAAGAAAAGCAGAACAGAGAATGAAAGAGATCCCTCCGAGGACACACGAGAGGACACAGGGGGGGCAGAAGACGCGGCTCTTTTCAAGGGTTGCAGCCTCTCCCTCGCGCACGACATCCAGCCGCTGCTGGGGCGCTCCGGCACTCACCTGGTTATCATCTCTTTCTCCTTGTTGGAGGCGTGGCCTCCGCTGCCCAAGACCTTGGCCGGGGTGGAGAGGAAGTAGAGGCAGTGGTTGGTGAAGTACTGGTTGATGAGGGGCAGCAGGATCTGTAAAGGGAATGCAAAGGAGTGGTGGGAGGAAGAAGATGGTGGATCTAATCTTGGAGGAGGGCAGGAGAGGAATTCCAAGGAAGTTCTCCAGCAGTTGCTTCTGGGCCCTGTTGTTGTTGTTGTTTTTTTGAGTCAAAGCAAAACACTCAGCGGTTGATGCAACTTGGGCGGTCTTGCAGAGGCTCTGTATCTACTACATGTACACCTACCTGTTGTGGCTCCGGGCTTGGATTCAGCTCCTGTGACTGATATGAGTTCAAGTGAGGAGGACATGGCAGAAAAATATGAGCCGGCATGGCTCAGTGATTGGACTGGTAACCAGGATGAGGAGATGGACGTGACAAAGGAAGACAGACCTGATGTATTAGAATTGTCAGGACCTTTGACCTCCTCTGGTTCCTTATCTGATCAACAGCCAGGAACGGCTGACAGGGAAGTTTTGAGAGAGTCTTCTAATGGAGATGAGAACTTGGAAAATTTGTGGTTAGATGTTTGAGAAGGCAAACTCAGCTGGAACGAAGGAGGAGGGCGAGTCAGTAAATTAGCACGTTGCCTCAATGAGCATAAAAGGACACAGCTGGGCTGGTAAAATTTGCCAGGAACAAAGTGACTTATTGAGTTAGGACGTTACAGCAAGAAGCTCTGAGACTTGAGATTTATTGCCAGGACTGGTTTGCCGGACAGAGTAAAGATTTATGCTGTGGATTGAGATTTCTGCCAGCCGTTATCTTGTGAGACTTCTTTCTGTTTGATTTAATTGTGAAACGGCTGCTTTCTGTTTTGTTCGTTTGAATTTTGAAGGGGAGTCATAACACCTACCTACCTATCCATCCATCTTCATCCATCTATCTATGAATGAATGAATGAATGAATATGTGTGACTAGAATAGAGGTGGGAAGGACCTTTGAGGTCTTCTAGTCCAGCCTCACACCATTTCAGACAGGTGGCTGTCCAATCTTTCCTTTTAAAACCTCCAGGGATGAAGCACCCATGACTTCTGGTGATAAGCTGTTCCACTGGTTAATTGTCCTCACTGTTAAAAAGTTTCTCCTTAATTCTAGGTTGCTTCTCTTTTTTATTAATTTCCATCCATTATTTATTGTCCTGATCTCTCTCTCTCTCTTCATCTACCTATCCATCCATCCATCTAATCATCTTCTTGACCCAACAGTAACATAAAATAAATAAAACCAAAAAGGCAGATTTACCTTGGCGAAGAACTTGATTTCTTGTTCATGGGGGGACTTCTCTACTCGTCCGCTGCTCACCACAGCCTCTGAAGGGGGGGGGGGGTGTTGCAAAAAATAGATCAGGAAATAGACCCTCCAAGAAATACAAAAAGTCTGCCCTGAGGTGGCTTAGACTATAATAACAGAATTTTGAAATCTGGGCAGCCTATCTCCTTCTTTCCCTCTTACACCAAAGAGACTCAAGGAGTGGAAATCTTGAGTTTCTTTCTCACGCGCTCTTGTCTTCCCGGGCTGAATTCATGTTTTGCTAAGGCCCCTTACATTCTGTTTTCAAGGTCAATTTTGCAGTGCTCTAAAACTTTATCCCGTTGTTCTGCTTGGATGACTAAAATTGGCACTGTGCGGCCTCCGACCACAGAAGAGGTGATCTCAAGAACCCCAAGGAAGATCTAAAATGGTCCAATTGTATTTCGCTATGGGATCCAAGCAGCCCAGAAACAGCTAATCTGTTTTTCCCACTATCAGAACGGACCGATGAAGTCAGAGACTGTATCTCAAACGCTTCTGCACTAGACCCCTGTCCAGCAGTATAAATAAGAAGGGAGGATTCTGAATTCCAAGCCTTCTTCTTATCTTCCCGTTTTCCATCCTCCTCTCCCGGGAAATCACCAGTCCCCGGCAATTTGCTACAGACAGCAACCAGGAGAGGAAGAGGACAGCCTCTTACCCAGGTGGGCGATAAATTCTTGGGAGATATCCATCCATTTCAGCAGCTGCTGTAGGAATCCAAAGGCGAAGCGTTTCTCAATGGATGAGGTGTCCAATTCCATGTCCTTCAGACCCCTGGGAGAAACGATGGCGTTTCAATTCAGGGGATGGTAAAACGATTGTGCTCGGGATTTACACGTTGTGTTAAGCCAGAAGGTAGTTAGTTTGGTTTGGCCATGAAGGATGGACCGATACTACTTAGATCTAGAACTACTTTTATTATCTATTTATCTTATAAATCAGACTGTGCACCCCCATTTTATCTTCGTGTGAACTGGTAAGGAGCTTATCTGAGATATTTGCTTGGTTACTTTCTTGACCTAGGCTAAAGCCCCTCTTATCTAACCGCTGAGTCGGTTGCTGTTCTTCCTTCTGCCCCTCCAAGGCCCTTCTCTATGCCCTCTACAAGGAGAGACCCCAAAACCCTTACCCAGGTATTCTCAAATGCCCCCAACACCGTGTTTTGCTTGCTTAGCAGTCATTTTATTTATTAGGCAGCTCAGACTAATTTTATTTATTAAACCTAAGGGCAGCCCAGACCCAGACAAAAACAACAATTGACGAGGACACTAAAACCCATGGTCATCTTCGAAAATAAAGAGTCTTTAAACTAAAAGGCCCTTAGCAGGCAGACGTATCAATCCTTCTACATTCAAAGCAGCAGAATAATTTATTGATTTTAAAACAACTTTGAGAAGAAGAGCATCTTGGTAGCCCAAGGTTGGACTGTCGGTGTTCTCTTGATCCTTTTTTAGCAGCTGTTTCCTTACCAAACTAGGTAACATCATCAATGCTAGAAGGGAGTGGGGTTTGCAGAGTGGAAGAGAAGGAGAAAGGGAGGAGGAGGAGGAGGAGGAGGAGGAGGAGGAGGAGGAGGAGGAGGAGGAGGAGGAGGAGGTGGAGGAGGAGGAGAACATCAATGGGGTCCTTGGTGCTCTCTAAGCCTGATGGGGCTTTTTTTGGCAGGTATTTCCTTACCAAACTAGGTAACATCATCAGTGCCAGAAGGGAGTGGGGTTTGAAAAATGGAAGAGAAGGGCTGTTTAGTCCTTGGTGCTCTCTGAACTTGGGTGTTTTCCTGTAGACGTCTCCTTACCAAACTAAGGGACATCATCAGTGCACTGGTAAGAAGTCACCCTAGATCACCCTTCTCCTGCTTTTAAGCTCCTTCTACACTTACCGAGTCACCGCGTAGCCGTTAAGCTGTAGGAATTTAAGCAACTCCTGAGCTTTTTCCCGGTCCCGCGCCTTCTCCTTGGCCGTCAACGTGTCATATGGCACCAGCAAGGGGTGAGTTCCACCTCCTTGGAGACAAAGAGAAAGCAGGTGAGTTTTTCCCCCTGCAGGGGCAACAAGAAAAGAGAACATCGGTGTCCTCCAAGGCTCAAGATCCCACCTTTGCTTTCCAGCTCCAATTTCTTCTTGCGTCCCCAGGTGTTGTGGTAATTCTCCGCCAGTTGCTCCGCCATGGCCTGTGGAGAGAGACTCGTAGGGTAGATAGGAAGGACCCTCTGATTGGCCAACTTAATCCTAATTTACATAGAATTATAGGGCTGGTAGGGAGAGGGGCGCGATGGCCTAGAGGTGGAGGTCTCGCCTCACCATCAGGAGGTTGTGAGTTCGATCCTTGGGAGAGGCAGATATTTCTCTCTCTGAGAATGTACCTGCTGAATATAACTCCGCGTTGGCGACAGGAAGGGCATCTGGCCAGTAAACAATCGGCTCCGTTCAGTGGCCCAAGACTCCACCCCCACAAGGGATTATGGGGTCATTAAAAGTAGATGATGATGATAGCAACTGAGGTAAGTTTAAGGGAACTTCTAAGCCTCAGTTAACTTCTGAGGGAAGAGGCTAGAAAATATTTCCACGGTGAAAGAAACTGGGCAGAAAGGATGGAACCCCGTTTACTGGGTTATTTGTTTGGCCTTCAGATTATCTGCCTGAATGCAGTTGGTAGATCCTAGACAGATATCCTCACCTGTAATTCTCTGGAAAGGGTCACTGCAGATAGATCTAGTGGCTGAGGATTGTAACCATGGCTGGGATCGTAGACCTGAAGGAAAACAGAGAAACTGGCATGCTTCACGTCCATTGTCCCCATCCTTCTCTTGCTGGGTTTGTTCCCTGATCCCACCTTCCAGATTCCTGATTCTACCACCTGTTCATTTTTTAAATTTTAATTTCATTTGGGGAGAGGCGCGTCCTTGGGGTTCTCTGAGCTTGGCTGTTTTCTTGCAGACGTTTCGTGAACCAACTAGGGAACATCATCAGTGCTAGAAGGGAGTGAGGTGTGGCAGAGGAGGAGGGAGGGACAAGGAGGAGGAGGGGGAGGAGGAGGAGGGGGAGGAGCAGGACTGTGGGGTCCTTGGTGCTCTCTGAGTTTGGCAGTTTTCTTGCAGACGTTTCGTGAACCAACTAGGGAACATCATCAGTGCTAGAAGGGAGTGGGGTTCACTGTCGTTTTTATACAACGCAGCGAGATCTCGACTCAGGTTCTGAGGAGGCTGTTTTGTCGGTTGTGGTGCTGCGTTTCTGGATCACCTTGGCGTTTACATCTAAAGAGTGAGCTGCGCATCACGCAGAAAGGCCTGAAGCAAAACAGTTTGGTACCATTTTTCTTCTAAAAGGTTATTTTTATAGTTTCACAAGGAACCATCACTGTTCCTAAGGACAACGTTAAGGACAGCAGCTAATAGCTCAGGACAACGTTACCAAACCTGACAACTTTTAAGATGCGTGGACTTCAACTCCCAGAACTCCCCAGTCAGCCATACTGGCTGGGGAATTCTGGGAGTTGAAGTCCACACACTTTAAAGTGGTCAGGTTTGAGAAACGCCGATTTAGAGTAATTATATACCTGGAAACAGGGAGTAGCTAAGATAGGAAGACGGCATAGTCAGGAAAAATGGACGGCAAGGAAGGTTCTAGAAACCAACCTGGGCTGTCTGTGAGACTTTGCGGGTTTTTTTCTTCTCCGTTTTCTCCTCATCGCCCTCACGGGCTTTCTCGACCATCCACTCCCAAGCAATCATGGCCTTCAGAGACTCTTTGATGGGCCACCGGTAAATTTCCTTATCCTGTAGGAGGAGGAGGAAAAAAAAAGAGAGAGACAGGTGGTAAATATCTTCTTTTCTTTTTCTGGAAGGTCCCCAAATGTCACATTGGCCTTCCACTCCTGCTTGGACATCATGGGGGAAATCAGGCAATCCTCGGGCCCGTTTCCGGTGGGAGGAATGGAGTGAAGAAACGCTACCTTTTCAGAGAACGTTTTATAAGGACGCAACATAGGACTGGTCTTGGCCTGCTCGTCATACGCCTCCCCAAAGGACCAGTTATTCTGAATCTGTGGAAAAAGGAGATTGGGAGACATAGCACTTAGAAACCAGGAGACACTCAGCTATAGTCCCGACTTAGGGATGCCTGGGTGACTTTGGGCCAATAACCAGGAAACTGGGAGTTCTAGTCCCGCCTTACGCATGAAAGCCGGCTAGGTGACTTTGGGCCAATAACCAGGTGATGGTGAGTTCTAGTCCTGTCTTAGGCATGAAAGCCAGCTAGGTGACTTTGGGCCAATAACCAGGTGATGGTGAGTTCTAGTCCTGTCTTAGGCATGAAAGCCGGCTAGGTGATTTTGGGCCAATAACTAGGAGGCGGTGAGTTCTAGTCCTGTCTTAGGCATGAAAGCCAGCTAGGTGATTTTGGGCCAATAACTAGGAAGCGGTGAGTTCTAGTCCTGTCTTAGGCATGAAAGCCAGCTAGGTGATTTTGGGCCAATAACTAGGAGATGGTGAATTCTAGTCCTGTCTTAGGCATGAAAGCCAGCCAGGTGACTTTGGGCCAATCACCAGGAGATGGTGAATTCTAGTCCCAACTTAGACATGAAAGCCAGCTGGGTGACCTTGGGCCAGTCACTCTCTCTCTCTCAGCCCAACCCACCTTACAGGGTTGTTGTTGAAGGGGAAAATAAGAGGAGGAAAGCACAGTAAGTATGTTCACTGCCTCGAGTTGTTTATAAAAATAATAAAGGCGGGATAGATCTGCTTTTCTATGCCCAACCAGGGAGCGGGAAGCACTTGCTCAGGACACCAGTAAGCCGGCAGATCAGATCTCAGGGATCTAGAGAGGTTGTGCGAAGGGCTCTTACCTTGTCAAAGGCCCATTTCTCATGCGTGTACTCAGCATACTTGTTGATGAACGAGTCCAGCTTCTCTGGAATGATGACACTAAGGAAAGGAGAAAGAGAGAGGAGATTGGAGGGATGGCCAACGGAGGGACCCGTTCTGATCCTGCTCTATCACTGCAGGAGAGGGAAATTGGAAGGACAGGAAGTTAATTTATGTCTTTCCAGGTCTTTTCCACGAGGTTCTTTTCCAGCAAAGAACAAGATGCTCCCCCGAGGAAGAAGCAAATTTGGGACCCTGAACCAGCAGGATAACAAAATCAGAGAGGAGGCAGGAATACCCAACCGGACCACAAACCAGGTGAGATTTAAAAAGCAGGTTTTTTTTTTTTACTAATACACAAATACATATTTAGCTTTCTGGTTACAGTCACCCAAATTCCTTATCCTTACCAATCCTGCTGTCTACGGTAGAAACTACATAGCAGAGGGATGAGAATAACCTTTTAAGCATCTTGATGAAAAACATAGCCGATCAAGGAATGTGGATGACAAGGTTGGTGGCACAGTGGTTAGAAGGCAGTACTGCAGGCTACTTCTGCTGAATGCCTGCTGACTGCAATTTGGCAGTTTGAATCTCAGGCTCAAGGTTGACTCAGCCTTCCATCTTTTAGGGGTGGGTAAAATGAGGACCCAGATTGTTGGGGGGAAGAGGCTGGCTCTTAAAGAGGGCTGTAAAGCACTGAAAAGCAGTATATAAGTCAGGGGTGGGCAAACTTTTTGGCTCGGGGGCCTCATTGACTTTTAAAATTTGACAGACGGGCCGGGTCAGCACAAGATACGATACATATAAAAAACTGCAAAATCTCCGCAAAATCAAGTCACTGCGCCTAATGAGCCACCTGGTGTCGAAATGCCTGTCATTACAAGTCAAAATCAAATGAATGCAATCGTTCAATCATTCACATCAAACCTGAATTCTGTACCAATCTTCGGCAGGCCGGATTAAAAAGACCAACAGGCCGGATGTGGCCCGCGGGCCGTAGTTTGCCCATCCTTGATATAAGTCTAAGGGCTACTGCTATTTTTTCCTGTAAATCTCACTCACTTTAGTGTTTCCACAGGTTTGGGGTCAAAGTTGCCCTCGGCGTCCACCGAAGCCTTCTTTTCAGTTTTCGAAGAATAGCTGGCATCCACGTAATCAGGAGGAATGGCACCAGCAATGGCACACAAACAGGGCATGGACAGCTTAAACAGATCGGAGTCGAATTTCTGAACAGTGGGAAGAATGGGAAAACAGAAAAAGACGCTCAGTCAGGCAATACCGTCTGTTGAAATGCTCCCTCTCACCGAGAATATTTCTGCTATTTTTCTTTTCAAAATGCCACTATCATTTCCAGGAATGCTTCCCATCGGATGCCTGGAGCTCAACATTAATGGCCGAGAGACTGATGGCACCTAATTGTACAAAGGAAGGAAGTTTGCTTCCTAGAAGGAAGCAAACTTCAGACAACTTCCCTATGCTGACTGGGGAATTCTGGGAGTTGAAGTCCACAAGTCTTAAAGTTGCCACGGTTGGAGACCCCTGTTCTAGATCACTGCAAACCCTATTTTTGGCTGACCACAAAGCCCCTACAAGGATAAGCACGCTGCTCACCTTATGGGACAACGACTCAAAGATGCCCCAGAAGAGTTTCCGTGTCAGGTGAAGCTCCTCCTCTGAGCTGACCCCATAGTTGGCCCAACCAGTCGGAAGGCAATAATATTTCCAGCAACGCTCGTAATGGTTGGTCAACAGCTGGATGGAGAATAGAAAAGGTAACATGTCATAAGCAGGAAGGATGTTTATGCCGTTTCCCTGAAAATACGACCTACCCTGAAAGTAAGTCCTAGCTTGATTTTTTTTACAAGAGTCTAATATAAGCCCTACCCTCAAAATAAGCCCTAATTAAGATCCCGCCCAGTCAAGAGTGGACGGGTAAAAATTAAGCTGCCCTACTACTTACCTTTGGATATTTGTAGCCAGGCCTCGCACACCCCGACGCCTGCCTTGCCGGCACATTTCTTCTGCAACCGGCAAGGCTGGCAAGGCTTTCCTGAAGGCCTCTGTAGCTGACAAGAAAGCTCCGGATCGATCCAGAGCTCTATTATGGGATGCAGAGGCCTTCAGGAAAGCCTTGGCGGCCGCAGAAGTTCTTGAAGGCCTCTGAGAGCAAAAAGGAGGCCCGGTGGGGTGAGGGGCGACGTGCACAAGTCAGTGAATGACATCCCCCCAAAATAAGACCTGGTAGCTTTTTGATGGCAAAAAATATATATATAAGATAGGGTCTTATTTTTGGGGAAACAAGGATCAGACTGGGGAGGGCTACACCAGACAGAGTGTCCCGTTTCCTATGGTAATATGCACACACACATCCCATACGAAAAAATAATAACCTAACTTAACAGCAGCCAAGCATGGGATGTTGGCCTGCTGTGGCAATGCATTTGCTAATCCTTTACCTAATATGGTTATGTGGCAATGGTTTCTCACCTTGAGAGACATTTTGGCAAATTCATTAAGGATGGGCACATCAAACACCAGCCGGCGGAGAAGATGTTGGAGCATGGAGGGCCTTATATACCTAGAAGGGCAAGCGGGACAATGAGTAAGCGGAGCCAAAAGCGTATTTTACAAAAAGAAGGACGGGTTTCTCCTTTGGGCTGGCGATTCAGTCGCCTCCAGGCGATGCTACCGTAGGTCTAAATCAGAGGTGTCAAACTTGATTTCATGGAGGGCCGCATCAGGGGCTCTTGGGGAGGGGGTGGGCAGGTGAGCGTGGCCAGGGTGGGTGTGGCCAGCTCAATGTCACTCATATCGGGGAGGGGGCTTGTGGTGGCTCGAGCACTCGCGGCCTTCCCGAACTCCGTTTTCGCCGGCAGAGGCACCGTGGGGCGGTCCTTTGCTGTCCCTCGGGCCAGATCTAAGCATCCCACGGGCTGGATCTGGGTCCCAGGCCTTGAGTTTGACAGCCCCTAGTCTAAATGGCAGGATTTCATGCGATGGCCACATTACGTTGTTTTCCATCACTTCCCGTGTGTCTCTGTAAGATTACCCCTTTTAAAAAATATCCTTATTGGCTAAGGATGAAAAAAAAAAAACAGAACAGGTTCCCAATTCCTTCTAAGTAGGAAAGTTTGGAGGTCTTCATCTGGAAAGAAGGAGAAAGAGGGAGAGGAACTTGGAAGTCCTCGTGTTCGAGGGCCAAGCTACACAGAAGAAGCTGCCAGGGTGCAGGAATGTCTGAGCTGATCCATAAATTCTTTGTCCAGTGTGAAAGACCAGGTCCACATGTGAAGGTCCAATTAAACTATTTTATTGCTAAAGGGTCTATGTATGTGAAACTTCTCAAATAATGGCTAGCAACTACCTGGTGTCAGATAAGGGTCAACAGAATTCAAGGGAGGTTGGGTTTAGTCCACTGGTGACTACGTAGTGGATTCTAGGCTGATTCCTCTTTTAACGCCGCCCCGGGTTCTACCACTCCTTCTACTACATTCTTCTCCTTACTTGCACAGCGCCATGAGGCACTCTTCAATGACGTCACGCTGGGCCTTGGTAAAAGAGCGACCACGAGACAGCCGGTAGATGGTGTGCAGCATGGAGTCCACCATGATAGCCCGGTGCTCAGTGCCAGCAAAGAGAGGGGCGCATTTAGTGATGAGCGGCAGCACAGCCTGGCAGAGGTAGCGGTTCATGGCCAGGGCCATCTCTGTGGTGCTAAAGGCTGCCTGTGGGGAACAGAAGCCATGAGGGACATTTGGTGGAGAGAAAGAGAGAGACAAGGCATGACCAAGGCACTTCAGGGCCCAGTCCACCTTTTCAGAGTTGTCAGGTTAAAACCCTGGAATAACAAAGAACAATCCAACCAAGATTCAGTTGTTTTTTTTTAATTTCCTTTCATCCAACAGACAGAATCTTGCCAGACTAAATCCTATGAGTACAGCTTGAATGTTGTCATGGGGATGATACCATCCTGTCCCCAAGCTACTTACTGTGTCCAAGGAGGCTGCAGCTCTCATGTCAGGCAGAAAACCCACTTCCAGGACATGGAGGAGGAAGTCCTGGTTGTCGATGCCGTACACACGGTCCAGAAACAACACCATGGGTGCCTTGTGGTCAGGCACAAAGCTGGCGGACATCTTGGGTTCAATGACACTGCCATCTAGAGAGGGAAGGGCAGATTATAAATGAAGAGGAGATGGAAATGAGGGTAGCAGCTTTAAAGAGGAGGGAAAGGCAGCCTTTCCAAGGAGTGAAGGTCAAATGGTATCAAACACAAAACGTAGGAGAAGAGCAGGCAGAGTTGGGGAGCGGAGTTAAGTGTGCCATTAGCTTAGAGTCATTACGTTACCACAAACAAGTCAAAAATCCAACCCCTCTTGAATTCCACTGACTCTTATCTAGCGCCAATTTACCACTGAACTTTAGTTGATCAGATTCTTGTGTATAGATTTGAGCAGTAAATCTTCTGAACTGCCACTCAATGTACGGCCCTAATCCTTTGCGCCTGATGGGAATCTAGTCGACCAAAGTTCAATACTCAATTGGCACCAGATATGGGTCAGTGGAATTCCAGAGGGGTTGGACTTGCAGCGCTTGTGAGAATGTAACGACTCTAAGTGGTAACACACTGAACGGAGTCCTCCAGCTCTGCCCGCTCTTTTCCTACACAAGCAACCCGCGGGGTAGGCTGAAACAGGTATTTTATTGCTGATCGCCTACGTTACAAGAATCTTCCCAGCTTTTACTTGGGAAACGGCAGAGATAGACCTAAGACTTTGATCTTTGATGTTTCATTCCCACATGGACTCTATGCTGGAATCTCTCTTCGCTCCACCTAGTAGGGCACCTCCCCTTCAGCCGACGGTTCCACCATAAATGGGCAGTAGATCCCAAGATGAACTAAGTCTAGGAGCAGGAAGTAGAACCTCCTAGGGATACTTTGCTGCCCAAAGGGCCACCGTACCTTTGCCAAACGAAGGGATCTGCAGCGGGAGGCTGATGACTCCAACCAGGTCCTCGATGGGCACTAAGGAACGCAAGATGGCTCTGATCCGGAGGGCTTCTCCCTTCCCAGCTTGGATGAGCTGCTCAGAGAGGAAGACAGGAAGGGAGACAGGGTGAGCCTCTAGCACAGAGGTCTCCAAACTTGGCCACTTTTAAGACTTGTGGACTTCGACTCCCAGAATTCCTCAGCCAGTATAACTGGCTGAGGAATTCTGGGAGTTGAAGTCCACAAGTCTTAAAAGTGGCCAAGTTTGGGGAGCTCTGCTCTAACATGTAGTCCAAGCAAAGGCCTGGGAGGCAAAAGGAAGCTAGAGGAGAGAGGCCCGTTTGCCAAGAGATGGGAATCAGTGAGCGGTGAAATGTTGCCCGTGGCCAAGTCCTGCGAATGGATTACAGGTAGTCCTTGACTTATAACCGGGCCGATAAAGGAGAATATTTGTAGCCTGGGGTTGAAAGGAGGGGTCCTTGGTGCTCTCGGAACTTAGTAAGTTTTCTTGCAGATGTTTCATTACCCAGCTAGGTAACATCTTCAGTAATAGAAGCGAGTGGGGTTTGTGGAGAGAAGGAGAAAGTGGAGGAGGAAGAGGAGAAAGAGGAGGAGGAGAAAGAGGAGGAGGAGGAGGAGGAGGAGGAAGACCGTGAGGCTCTCTGAGCTCGGAGGTTTGCTTGGAGACATTGCATGACACAACTAGGTAACAACATCAGTGCTAGAAGGGAGTGGGGTTTGGAGGAGGAGGAGGAGGAGAACTGTGGGGTCCTTGGTGCTCTCTTGAGCTTGGTTATTTTCTTGCAGATGTTTTCACCGTTCAAAGTTACAGTGGCATTTTTCACACTTCTGACCGCGGCAGCACCGTCACACCATCAAAATCCGGACGCTTGGCAACCCCTGCCTCACTTAACCACAAAAAATGTTGGGGCTCAATTGCAATCGTTAAGTCAAGGACGACCTGTGTTTGGGGGAGCGGACTTCCTTCCGTCCCCAAGGGGCAGGACAGTGAAGGGGGGAGGTGGCCCTTACGTGCATCTCAGGGGCGCAGCGTCCCAGCAGGTCAATGAGGGCGGCATAGAAGGACATGATGGCGTTGCCCAAATGGACCCTGTACTCCTCGTGAGTTTCTTCTCCCCCAAACCTGGGAATGAGAGAGCAAAAAAAAAGAGAGGGGAGTGGGAGAGAGAAGCATTACTTATGGCGGTGTGCCATTTTGAAAGGGGTTAGTGGGTTAAAATAGGAGATTCCCGCCTCCACTCCATGGCGTATTCCTCCCTACCTTTGTTAATTCTTTTTGTTTTTTAAATATAATTTATTAGTTTTTACAATTAAAACCAACCAACAATACATACACAAATGAACGAAAGAAAAGAAGAAAGAAAGAAAAGAAAGAAAAAAATAGAAAAAAAAGGAAAGTTAAAAGCATTCTTATTTTTACAGTTTGCAAGATCTTTTTACCTTTGTTAATTCTAATGTTACGGTTTAAAATATTGTTTTATTACATTGTAAGTATCAAGGCTCTGACAATCCACCCCAATTCAAATCATAAGTCTCTAGCCGCATCTCACAGGGTAAAAAAAAATAAAATGGATTTATTAGGAGTGACTATGTCAGCGTTACCTGGGTGCAGACGACTCTAAGACACATCATTCATTTCCCCCTTGACCCTGGTCTTCCCCCTACCCACTGCATGTATATTCTCCAATGGGACACATCCATAGCCAAGAGTCATCAATCATACTCTCCAGTAATAATCTTGCGCGCCAACAGCTTCGGCAGCCTAGCAATTACCTGAACCATTTATGGAATGCACTGCTTTTCCCCCACTCCCTTTCTGTTGGCAACTAAAAAGACCAATATTTTAGTTGACAGTAAGCACCCTACACAGGGATGCAGTGGCTCAGTGGCTAAGAGGCTGAGCTTGTCGATCAGAAAGGTCGGCAGTTTGGCGGTTCAAATCCCTAGCGTCGCGTAACGGAGTGAGCTCCCGTTACTTGTCCCCGCTTCTGCCAACCTAGCAGTTCGAAAGTACGTAAAAATGCACATAGAAAAAATAGGGACCCCTTTGATGGGAAGGGAACAGCGTCCCATGCACCTTCGAAGGTGTTTAGTCATGCCGGCCACATGACCACGGAGACGTCTTCGGACAGCGCTGGCTCTTCGGCTTTGTAACGGAGGTGAGTACTGTCCCCAGAGCCAAAAATGACTAGCATGGATGTGCAAAGGGAACCTTTACTTTTAGGCACTTTACAGTCCCATGTCAGCATGATGGGTGGCGTTTAAACTTAATAAAATAAATAAACAAGAAAACAATGTCTCCAGTCCAAATCACAGGAGGCGTAAAGACGGATTAAAAACCGTTAGTGTAAAACCAAAAACGCAACTGCAACTATACCCGCAGTCACTCTAGTGCGAAAGACAGAGTAGCTGGCAGCTCATCAGGGTCCATTCACAATGCTACAAAATGCCAAATATCCCTCAGAAGTTCTCAATTCTTAAAAACTTATCAGGCCAGAAAGAGAGGGGGAGAACAGAAAAACAAGGAGGAAGTTGGCCAAACCAAACCAGAATCATTTTGGGTCAAACAAGAGAAGACCTTCCAAATTATACAACAGATTTCTCCTCCCACCACTTCCCAGAAATTCCTTTCACGCACAATTCCCTTCGGCGATCTTTCTTGACGGTAGGCCCATCCCGGGCAGGATCCTGAGAGATCTGGATGGCTTCTTCTATGGCCGCCAGCAGGCCGTTGCCTCCTTCCCCACGCAGGGCCGGGCCAAAGCACTCAGGGCGGCGGATCAACAGGCGCACCACCACATTGGCGTTCTCCTCCACACTTTCACCTATGGAAGGAGAAGGACCCGAGGGAGACCTATGGGACCAACCGATTACCCCAGGAACCCAGAAAAGCAACATGGAGGTGATAAGGTTATTTGAAGGACCACTTGTCCCCTGTTACATCAACCTGGTCCGCCAGGATCGGTAAGGCAGAGCAAGTTATGGGCCCCATTGATTAGGGATCGTCATCCAGTGGGACCAGGAAAAAGGGCTTTCTTGGGAGCGGCCCCTCCTTTGTAGACCATCATCACTCCCTAGGTACGGTTGGTCCCCACCCTGCTGCTCTTCCCGGGGGCCCTAAAAATATGCTTTTGTCAGCGGGCCTGGGGACTCTGAATGGAGACGGAGCCCATCGAATGGCTGCTTTGACTGTATTGAAGCTGCCATTGGGGTGCGATTCTTTAACTGATTTTATTATGTGCTGGATTTTCAACGATTATTTTAAAATGTTGTTGTCACGTAAGAGCGAGTTGGTTGGCTACACAAGTTGGTTGGTTGGTTGGTTGGCTGGATGGACAGATGGCTGGATAATTAGTTGGTTGGTTGGTTGGTTGGTTGGTTGGTTGGTTGGTTGGTTGGATGGTTGGTTGGATGGTTGGTTGGTTGGTTGGATGGGTGGGTGGGTAGGTGGATGGATTGATGGATGGATGGATGGTTGGTTGGATGGATGGAAGGATGGATGGATGGTTGATTGGTTGGTTGGTTGGTTGGATGGATGGATGGATGGATGGATGGATGGATGGTTGGTTGGTTGGTTGGTTGGTTGGTTGGTTGGTTGGATGGATGGTTGGATGGATGGATGGATGGACAGACAAATGTACTACTACTTAGCTGCCATGTATTCTGGAAGGGTGAGTTGTAGAATTGTGTTCCCTGAATCCTTCTTTAGTGACTCCAACTAGAAGACATGCCCTACCTGTCTCCATATGTGGCCACTTTGGCCACCAAACTCACCATTGACGAAGACGGTGAAGCGCAGGAAATCCAGGTAATGCTCGCCTCCACAAGGGTTCCAACCAATATCAGGATATCCCTTGGAGAGCAACATGGGACAGCTCTGGAGGCCTGTGCCAGCAAGGTAGGTCACTACCTATGGAGGCGAGGAGGAAAAAAAAAAATCTCAAGATTTCCACTGGGCTCCACGGAGTTCCTATCAAAGCAAATCCATTAAAGCGTGCAGAACTGACTGAAGGATCCACTTCATAATCATTGCCTTATGACAACAGAAGGGCCTATCCACAGAATATCCTGACTACAATCAGAGACTGAATGAAGGTAGAAAGGAAAATCTCTGAGGTTCAAGATTGAACTACGAGGTCCTGGGTGCATTCTGAACTTGGCAGTTTACTTAGAGACATTTCATGACCCAGTTAGGTAACATCATCAAGGGATCCGTGTTTGTGAAGGAGAGGAGGAGGAGGAGGACAGTGACCCAGCTAGGTTAACATCATGAGTCTGAGGTGCCTCCGCTGGGATTCCTGCTCTGAGCCTTCAGCCTCTAGATCTAGGATATGAATGGGATATTCTTTGCCACGTTGGCATCTTCTTAACTGAGCAGTGCTACCTTTTCCAGATCCTGTTCCTGCAAAGCCAGGGCCAGTTCATTGTTATCGATGACCGAAGCAGCAGCCACATCCAAGGGTGTGGATCCTCGCATGCCTGGAAGAGCAGGAAGGAGAGGAGAGGAAGGGAGGGAGGAGAGGAGAGGAAGGGAAGGAGGGAGGAGAGAGATGGATGGATGGATAAGGAAGGAAGGAAAGAAGGAAAGGAAGGAAGGAATGGTAGATGATGACAGATGATGGAGGGAGGAGGGAGAGAGAAACGAAGGAAGAAAGAGAGGGAAGAAGGATAGATAGATAGATAGATAGATAGATAGATAGATAGATAGATAGATAGATAGATAAGGAAAGAGGGAAAGAGAAATGAAGGAAGAAAGGGAGGGAAGAAGGATAGATAGATAGACAGACAGACAGACAGACAGATAGATGGATGGATAAGGAAGGGAGGGAGGGAGGGAGAGAGAAACAAAGGAAGAAAGAGAGGGAAGAAGGATAGATAGGTAGATAGATAGATAGATAGATAGATAGATAGATAGATGGATAAGGAAGGGAGGGAGGGAGGGAGAGAGGAACAAAGGAAGGAGTAGATGATAGATGATAGATGGCAGATGATGGATGGAGAAAGGGAGCAAGGGAGGATGGAAGGAAGAAGAAGGAAGGAAGCAATAGATGATGGATGGGTGGATGATAGGAGGGAGGTCCATCAGTGTTCCAGAGGCTGGAGCAACCTGGCACTCCCACCTGAGAACAGGGCATTAAGATCACACCACTCTCCCCCCGCATCAAACTTCCAAGCAAACTTCAAAACCCCAATAAAATATTTCAAACTATGCGGGAAAAAATTGGGTTTATATCCCGAGGCCCAAAACAGGTTCCACGCTAACCCACTGGCTTTTTGCTCTCTAGCAGGAGTCAGTATCCTTCATAGGGTATCGATCATCCCTGGTCTTGATCATCTCCGTTGCACAACCCGTGCCGTTTCCCCGAGCACAGCAAGCAACTCACCCAGCCCGATCCCGCTATTCTGCAGCAGGTAGCTGAGGTGGTCAAACATGGAGCGTTGGTTCTGGCGACTGATGCGGCAGAAGTAGCACAAGAAGCGGCAACAGTTGGTCACCATTTTAGGGAAGCGGATCTCCTATTAGGGGACGAGAGGGAGTTTCCTGGATGGTTTTTGGAGGTGCACCTGTTACCCTCAAGCCATTTTCCACACGCTACATACTAAAGTTCTCACTCTCACGAACTTTATACCTGGGTGAAATGGTGCAGCGTACGGCAAGATTTTTTTTTTGAACCAAGATAACTCAAAGGCGCTATCTTGTGGAAAGTATCCAAAATCCAAAACCCACCACCTCCCCGTGTGGATGAAATTTGGGGACGTTGTGGCTATTTGAGTGCTACTGGCTGCTTCTGCATGGCTGGGCTACTTTTGTGACAGTTTCCCAGCCAGTCTAGCAATTCCCCGCTGGGAAGGGAAGCGGGGATTTCCAACGGTCCCTGCCAGATTCCCACAAGCAAACACAATGGAGAGGTCAGAAGTTGCTCCGGCTCCCACCGCCTGCCCCTTTGGCCTTTCTGTTTCTCCGCTTAGAAAAGGAAATGCCGCTGAAACAATGACCCAAAGGAACACCCGTGGTCTAGTTCTAACTTAAAATTGTACCAAATATAAAGGTTTTTAAGGAAAGAGTCGACAACCCAGCAAGGAAAGAACACTCGGTCTGAAAGGTCCTCGGGAGATGTTTTTCCCTTATTTTATTTTTTTTAAAATGGGGAAATGTTGAAAAATGTGGCCCAGATATTACTATTAGAATAGAGAATTGGAAGGGACCTTGGAGGTCTTCTAGTCCACCCCCAGCTCAAGCAGAAGACCCTATGCCATTTCAGACAAGTGGTGCCTAGTCTTCTCTTTAAAAAAACCTCCAGGGGTGAATCATGCAGACCGTGCCTCAGTTTCCAAGAACGGGGATCCTACGGGGCACTAGAGCGTTGACGGGACAAAAGACGAGGCCCCTTACCTTTGAGTCCCCTCCTCCCAGAACGTTCACCATCACCTCCATGACAGTCTCATGCATTCCCAGGGCCCTCATCAAGTTGGGGTGCTGGTAGAAGACTTTGTTGTTCATTATATTGCTAGCCAAGGAAAACAGGGAGAAGCAACAGTTGGACTTCAGAGCAGAGGTGAGGATGGAAAAGGAAGAACTTGAAACCCCCAACCCAACAGGTGTATCTTCTTTTAATGACCCCATAATCCCTTGCTGGGTGGAGTCAGGGCAACTGAACGGAGCTGAGTGTTTACTGGCCGGATCCCCTTCCTGTTACCAATGCGGAGTTTTTTTTGTCCATGGAGAGAAAAATGTTTGCCTCTACCTAGGATCGAACTCACAGCCTCCTGATTGTGGAGGCGAGAGCTCCACCTCTAGGCCACCGTACCCCTCTCAACCCAACAGGCACAAGTGGGATGAGAATTCGCAGGGGGAGGATCGAAAGTTGGGTCTTAGGGAAGAGCTACTATTATTACATCACCTTACTACAACTCAATGCCTCCTGGATGTACTCTAGACTCTTGGCTGCAAGTTTGAGGACCTGCAGTCCAAGGTATCAACTGTAGAAGGTTAAGGTTTCAGTATGTTGGGTGGAAAGCGGCAATGGTTTAAAGGAAATCTGAGGATAATTTTGGAAGTATGGAGGTCATTTTAGGTCAAGGGGCAGGGCAAGAGCTTGAGGAACAACTGAATTTACACTCTGCGGTTGCTGTAGTTAGGGGTCACCATCAACCATCTCAGAGCGATGCGTGTCTTCTTGCAAAGGAGGCTCTCCAGTTACCGGAGGAGGTCCCAATTCAGTTTGAAGCATCTCAAGCTAGAAGGGACTTCAGGAAGCAGGAAAACAACGTTGCTTGCAATTTTGAGAACTGTGGCAAATACGGAGCCTATGAAGCAGCTTCACGGGGAAAGGCACCTACCTGTTCAAGAAGCTACAGGAGATGAAAACACATACCCAATGCTCTGGATCATCAGGTTCTCCTCTTCAAGCCCCATCTGAACGATGAGCAGTGAGCGGATCTGCCCCAGGCACTCCAGCAGACTCATGGTATCCTCCACCGAGTTGGCATTGATGGTATACGCCTTGGGCATAGCACGGATGAGCTCACCGAGGCCGTCGTACTGCCGATGGAGGAGGCTGAACATCAACCGGACTAGCTCTGGGTTCTGGACGAAGGACTCCTGGGCCCAATGGACCATCGTGTGGGAGATCAGCTCTTGCAACGTGCCTACAGAGCAGGGGAACCAGGATGAACCTTCAGAACTTCTTCAGTTGGTCTTCACCAACCCGTCTCCATGACGGTTAACGCTCTCCTGTTAGAACTTTGACCACACATGTTTAGACTGATACGAACTGGATCGCACAATGTTTGGGAAGGCCCTAAGTTCCCTCAGAACCGATTGGCTCCATCACTCTCTTTCCCCTCCACCAGTTGGGGATACCTACTGGGTTTTGGCTCCTCTTCCGGAGGCTGCTCATCTTGCGCTTCTTCTTTTTTCTTGCGAAGGTTCACCACCTTCTCCACCAAATTCATCAGCCGCCGGTGAAAGGAAGTATCTTCCTCTTCCTGTTCCTCCTCCCCCTCGCTTTGGATTCCTGTACAGAAAAGATGCCAAGCTCCTGAGTGCAAAAATTGATAACAGGGGACACTGGAGGCAGGACGAAGCAAAATCCAATTCTGTCTGAACGCCCAGGAAAGGATATTAAAGTAGGATGAATGAGATCATTGTGGAAACTAAGATTCAAACCACAATAAAGGGATCTGGGGACCATTGATTCTACATTGGGATGTCCAGCCTTGGCTACTTTAAGACCTGTGGACTTCAACTCCCAGAATTCCAACCTTAACCACTTTT